TGAGATTTCCTTGTGGTGAAATACAAAAAACAAAAGAAAGAGAAAACAGTACTATGTAGCATTTTAATTTAAAGCAGAGGAGATGTGCCAAAGTCAGTCTCAACTCTCATGTTTATTACTTGTGCAACTGGTGAATGAACAGATAAGATGTCTTAGAATTGTACTTTCGGAGAATTTACTTCTTTGTTAGATAGTGAGGACATGGGGCTATAAATTTTTGTATTCTGTCACACCCTTATCTATTCCATTTAACAAAATAGGCCAGGATTTCTCAGAGGCACATTTGTGGACCACATAAACAGGAGTTGTTGCCGAATGGAGATAGTGGAATGCTTATCCTGGCCAGTGGCTGGAGAAAGCATTGAGTATTATGAAACAAATGAATATGGATCCTATAGCTTTTTATTACTTATAGTTGTTACATAAGCACTAGTTTAGTAAATTCTCACTGCATGTCTACATTTTCCCCATTTTTTTCCAGTAAGCTAACAAGGTAGGTTTCATTATTCATGCTATATGGTTGTGAAAAATGGCCCCAAATAATTTTCCTAGCATTCAACAACTACTAATTTCTGTTATATGGTTGCACAGAGCACAAACTTTTGCTTAGATATCATTCTGACTAACATATCTGATAATTTTTTTCTTCATCAGATGATTCCTAGGACACTCACCAATTATTTCCCAATTTGAGAGCCTAGTGTGGGACTCTATAGTCCCACCTATCTTCGAGCAGGAAATAGCTTTGACATCGTTTTTCTTCCCTAGAGTTTGTACTGAGGAAAAAAAAAAGTGGACCTGAGGGAATGTGTTAGCTAAGAGATGCTGATGGTCAGAATACGTAGGGACAGAAATGCAGTGCTGATGAAGCACATTACTAGGTAGAGTCAAAGAAGCTGAAGGCAAAAAATGCTGTACCTGGCTCTTTAGTCTCCAAAGAAGAGACTGATGCTTCCTTGAAGAACTATCTGCCTTAGGACACACTGTGTATTTTATTCTTCTCTTATGCCTATCTTCTGTACCTTCCTATACCCACAAGAAGTTGCTAAGCTTGACAGACTGGAAACCCAGCCAATCTGTATTGCAGTAACTGCCTGCACTTGAGGACTCGGGTATGCCTGAAGGAAGGCTTTCAGGTTAGAAGAATGGGTAAGAAATTGGCACATTATTTATTTAACAAATCCAGGAAGCAGAAAGAAAGGTTAAGAGGTAGGACTGATCTTTGCTCATGTGAAATCACTGCTCTGTGATCGGTGAGAAGTACTGATTGCTATTTCCCCCCAAAAAGACAGACTGTTATCCCCAAAAGCTGCTCAGATGAACACTGGGGTGGGATAATACTGCAGACTCTTTTCCATATCTAGCTAGTATCTATGGTGAGAATCCATGCACTGAAATTCCTGTTCTTTCAAAAACATTGCTATAAAATATTAACTCAAAGTTACAATGTTACTGGTCATGGTCATTCATTCCTATGGGAGGCAGACAGCAGGAGGATCATGGTTTGAGGACAGCCCAGGCAAAAAGTTTGCAAGACTCATCTCAACCAATTATTCCTGTTAATCCAGCTATGCAGGAAGCATAAATTGGAGGATTGAAATCCAGGCTGGCCCAGGCACAGCAATAAAACCCTGTCTTAAAAATAATCAAAAGCAGAAAAGTCTGGGGCATGGTTCAAGAGGTGGAGTGCTTGCCTAGCAAGTGTGAGGCCTTAAATTCAAACCCCAGTACTGCTATAAACAGAGTAAAAATGTTAAATGATGATACAGTTAATTATATTGTTGATGATTTAAGTGGCTATCCATCTTACCCTTATATACATCATGGATACCTAATAATATCATAAGCAAAAACAAGTCATTAAGGCAAGATAATTCTCAGAAGAAGCTGCCAGGAAGTTACATTTTTACAAGTGATTACTTGAGTACTCTAGGTCAATACCTGCCTTGAAGTCATTGCTGGCTATGGTTGATATGCTTGAGATCATGATTACTTTACCTTGACTAATATTTTGCTTTACTTGAGTCCAAACTATATCTTAGCTCTCAGACACTGTGTAGGCAATTTCAATACATTTTCTTGAATCTACTCAATGTTATATAAAGTTATTCAATTCCCAAATTCCCAGTTTTTTTTATTTGCTTAAAGAAATTTACTTATCCATCCAAAATGATTGAAGTAGTAAATAACAATTTATTACAAGATTATAGATACCTTAAATCAGAGAAATTCCCAAGGAGAGGCAGAAGAGAGTTATCTAAGAGCAAAGACCTGGTATGCCTATACAGGTTGAAGAGGGTGAAGAATATTTGAGGATTTGAATATCAAGGAAGAAGAAAATAATTGTGTCAAAGTCAAAGTGATAGTGACAGAGACTAGGAAAAGTTTATGATATAAAAAGTAAGGAAAGTGAATGAGATATATAGGACAGTATTTACTAATATGCTATGATGTGTTGGTATGATATAAGAATATGGAAATCAATTACTCCTTCTCTTTATTGTTTCTGCCCCTAAAAAGAAGAAAAGTGGTATTAGAGTGGAATATTCCTATCATCTCTATAGAATTTTATAAAATTAATTATTTTATAATCAGGTCTGTAAAAGGAAACTATAAGGTGTGATTATATTGATGGAAAAGCATAGTTTGGTGAATGGTGAATGGGTGATGCAAATTTTGGCAGTATTGAATATGCTATTTGTTGATGCTTAGTGCCCAGAATAATGGAAATTGAGTGACCATCACATTGTTAAAAGATTTAAACCTCTTAGGATCCTACTCTAATGTCTGTCTGTTCCAGCCCATGATGAGATCTGCCTCATAGTCCCTCCAACACATCTGATTCTATTGGGTAACTGACCCCTGTGCACAGAAAGCTCTAAGCTCTTTTTGTAGTTCAGTATTGCATCCTTTCTTTAATTTCATTTCCTTTTTTTCTATGAAATATTTTCTCTATCTGCTTGCTCTATTAAGCCATTATAAATTCTCTATAAGTGGCAGTAATTTTTCCTTTTGTAGCTCTCTATTTGGAACAGTATACATTATCTCCTCCACACATACACATGAAACGTATCACACCATAACAGGATTTAGCTTGCAAACTGATTTCCCAAAATTCTATGCAGGTCTTTCCTGTGTTTGATTGTTTTAATAAGTGACACAAAATCCAACAAAATAAGTGAACTAACTCTAGATTTCTTTCTTTTTCTCACTCTCAGCCTATGATGATGCATATTACCTGTCTTTTTCCTGAATAAAATTTTATGCCTATTTATCCTTTGTAATACTGTTAGATTTCACTTTCCTTCACATGTTCTTTTTTTGGCATCACTTGGGTTTGAACTCAGGGCCTCATGCTTGCTAGGCAGGGGCTCCATCACTTAAGCCACTCTGCCAGTCCTTTCCTCCACTTTTTATTACTATAGTAGATCACTAATGTTTCTCTGCCTTCTCTCTCTGCCAGCCTTTAGACCATTCTTAACATTAGTCCTACTTTGACATCAATATGATATAAATCTGGTCAGGTTGATTACTTTTTATTGCATTTAATACTTTGTGTTCTTTCAGATTAAATCTATTTATGGTTTTTTTGGGTTTTTTTGGCAGTACTGGTGTTTGAACTCAGGATCTCATGCTTGACTAGGCAGGCGCTCTACCACTTGAGCCACTCTATCAACCCTCAGATTAAATCTAAGCACTTTCTATTTATACATAAGTTCCTTCAAAAATTCTGATCCATTTTTATTTAAACCTAGCTCCAACAGTCATATGAAGACCCACTCATGGTCTGTAGTTTTGCTCAATTATGTTTGTTTACACTTCGAATACAGTATTCCTCACTTATCTGCAGTTCTGCTTTCTATCATTTTAGTTACCTGACATCAACTTCGGTCTAAAAATACTAAATTGAAAATTCCAGACATAAATAATTCATAATTTCAAAATATATTTTATTATGGCATATTGGCATAATTGTTCACATTAATCATTGCTTTTGTTAAAATATTATTGTCCTAATTTATGAATTAAACTCCATAATAGCTACAGTGTGTAGGTTAAAAGCAGGACATGGAGTAAAAGGGGGACTGTTTTGGAAGGAATAAGCAGAAAGGGGAGGGTGAAAGAGGAGGGCATTAGGAAGATAAATACGATCAAAGTACATTATATGTATGTATTAAAGTAGAATAATGAAACCCATTTTAAAATTGTTTAAAGATGAGGTGGATAAAAAGACTGACACAGGAGTAAATTTGATCAAAAGACATTATATGCTCATATGGTCATATCACAATGAACCTCTTTGTACAATTAGTAGAACAAATTCACCCAGAAATAAAGAAATAAAATATCTAAAGCAAAAGTGACTAAAGCTAACAAAACAACAACAAATATACAGGTACAGTTTGGTCCATCCATAGTTTCAGGTATCCCTGGAAGTCTGGAATTTATCATACAAGCATAAAGAGGACCGCTGTGCACTTGCACACATTTCTGCATTTACCTGGGTTTCCATCAATACAGAAAGTATGTCACAGTCCTTTAATTCAGTCCTTTAGTTCATATTTGTCACTTGAGATTTACATCAGGACACCTTCAATAAATCATCCCTGACCTCTCTGGATAAGTCTAGTTTCTCTTCTGTATTTTTAAAAAGACATTTTGTGTTTTTATATAACCTTAAAGTTTTAAACTGACAATTATCTTTACTTTTTGTAAACTAACTTGGGGGTACTTGAAGGCATTTATTATACATTCCTCTAATTTTAGCAACACCAATTTTTCTTTAATATGTTCTTAATAAATGTGCAATGATACAATAAATTAATTGGTAAAATAATAAACACAGGTAGTTACTAAATATAATGAACAGAAGAGGGATTAAAAGCACTAGTACAAGCAGCATACATCAAAGCAATATTCCTTATAACAGTGTTGACTTTTCTCCTAACTTTTCATGTTCTTGTTTTCTCATGCAGTCTAAGGGTGCCTCCATTGATACAATGTCTGTCTTCAATTGTTCTGCCCTATATCCTCACTTCTTCCTGACAGGCTTCCCAGGCCTTGAAAGCAGATATGGCTTGATTTCGCTCCCCATCTTCTTAGTTTATGCTACTTCAATTGCAGGAAACATTACCATTCTGTTCATCATCAGAACTGAGTTTTCCCTCCACCAACCAATGTACTACTTTCTGTCCATGCTGGCACTCACTGACCTGGGCCTATCCACTACAACCTTACCTACCATGTTGAGTGTCTTTTGGTTCCATGCTCGGGAGATTCCTTTCAATGCTTGTCTGGTTCAGATGTACTTCATTCATGTTTTCTCAATAATTGAGTCTGCTGTGCTGTTGGCCATGGCCTTTGACCGCTATGTGGCAATTCGAGAACCTTTGCGCTATGTAGCCATTCTAACCAATGGTGTAATTTTTGGGATTGGGTTGGCAATTGCTGGAAGGGCCTTAGCCCTTGTCTTCCCAGCATCCTTCCTACTGAAGAGGCTTCAATATCGTGCTGTAAATATTCTCTCCTACCCCTTCTGCCTGCATCAGGACCTCATTAAAACAACTGTATCCAGCCATAGGGTCAGCAGCATCTATGGCCTCATGGTGGTCATCTGGTCCATGGGACTTGATTCAGTGTTTCTTCTCTTCTCCTATCTCCTCATCTTGGGCACGGTGTTGAGTATAGCCTCCAAGGCAGAGAGAATGAAAGCCCTCAATACTTGCATTTCCCACATCTGTGCAGTGCTTACCTTCTATACACCAATGATTGGGCTATCTATGATCCGTCGCTATGGGCAGAATGCTTCCCCAATTGTCCATGTGCTCATGGCTAATGTATACTTGCTGGTCCCACCTCTCATGAACCCTATTGTCTACAGTGTTAAGACCAAGCAGATTCGTGACAGAATCCTCAAGAAATTTAAGAAACTCAAAGTTTAGGTGAAAGAGGCTCTAAAGCATAACTTTTCTCCTTTTCCCTCTACATGTATGAGGAATTTATTATAAATGTAGACATTTGAATTTAAATGTTGCTAATAATATTTTGCCTTTAAGATACTGTATCTAAACCTCAATAGTAGTAAATATTTACCTTTTTAATGTAGAGAATAAAAGGCATAGTTTTATTTAATTTTTTGTGAAGGTCCTCAATTTCTGAAGATATTTAGATTTCAAGATAATTCTAATATGTTCTATGTAGTCTAGTTCAACAACATTCTCCTATACGACTTACCTTAGTACAAAATGAAATATTTTTGAATGATGTTTGAATGATATCTATATCTAGAAACCTATAGACAAAATCTATACTATTTTTATTAATATACATTAATGGTACAAGGGCATGTCATTGTTATACTTCCACAGATGCATACAGTGTACTTTGAATACGTTCATCCCCTCTATTATATTAGCCAACATCCTTCCAAGATATCTTTCTTAATCCATATCAAAATTCCAAGTTATTTGATACTTCTCAGTCAGAATTCATATCCTCCATAATATCTTAAATCATAATCCAGTACTAGTTTTTTGGATAAGTCAAAACACTATAAATTATTTAGGGAGAGTGGTGTGAATATTACTGTATACCAAGCATTTAAAAATTGTGACAACAGACCTAGGAAAAGATCTGAATTTTATTGGGAGAAAAAAAAAAGAAATAGACCCCTTGTGAAAAATGGAACAATTTAGTATGTTTGAGGAAGATCAGATTATGTTTTAAATGGAGTAAAGACAGCCTCTTCAATAAATGTTGTTGGGAAAACTGGATATCTGCATGCAGAAAACTGAAACTAGATCCATGTTTTTCACCTTGTACAAGTATCAACTCAAAGTGGGTTAATGACCTTGATATAAGACCAGAAATTTTGCAGCTAGTGCAGGAAGGAGCAGAGAATACACTGGAATTAATAGGCATAGGCAATGAGTTCTTAAATAGAACTCAAATGGCCCAAAAACTAAGAGAAAGGATTGACAAATGAGACTATAAGAAATTAAAAAGCTTCTGCACAACAAAAGAAATGATCACTAAAATGAACAGGCTGCCCACAGAATGGGAGAAAATCTGTGCCAAGTATATATCTGACAAGGGATTAATAACCAGAATATACAGGGAGCTCAAACAACTAAAATCCCCCAAAAATCAATGACCCAATGAAGAAATGGGCAAAGGAACTGAACAGGTTTTTTTCAAAGGAAGAAGTCTAAATGACTAAAAAATACATGAAGAAATGCTCAACATCCCTGGCCATAAAGGAAATGCAAATCAAAACCATGTTAAGATTCCTCTTCACTCCTGTTAGAATGGCTATCATCAGAACACAAAAAACAACAAATTTTGATGAGGATGTGGGAAAAAAGGAACCCTCACACACTGTTAGTGGGAATGTAAATTAGTACAATCACCATGGAAAACATATAGAGGCTCCTCAAAAATCTAAAATTAGAACTGCTATTTAATCCAGCAATACCACTCCTGGGGATATACCTGAAGGAATGTTAAGTCAGGTTGCAGTAAAGGCACCTGAAAACCCATGTTTATTGCAGCATTATTCACAATAGCTAAGCTGTGGAAACAGCCAAGATGCCCTACTACTGATGAATGGATTAAGAAAATGTGGTATTTATATGTAATGGAGTTTTATTAAGCTGTAAAGAAGAATGTAATTTTGTTGTTTGCAGGTAAATGGATAGAACCAGAGAGCATCATCTTAAGTAAAGTTAGTCAGGCTCAGAAAGTCAAAGGCCACATGTTTTCTCTCATATGTGGAATATAGATCAAATACAAATATAAGCAATATTATGAAAAACAGGTCATGCTAAGGGAAGGTCACAAATGAGAGAGGGAGGGTAAAAGAAGGAAGTTAAGAAGATGAATATGGTTGACATACTTCCTATACAAGAATAAACATAGAACTTTTAAACCTGTTGAAATCACCATAAAATGATGACTAAGGTAGAAAGGAGAAAAATAGAGGGGATGAACCAATTCAGGTTATAATACATATGTACATGGAAATGTCACAATGAAACACCTTGTATAGCTATCTTAAGCAAACAAAAATGTCATTTTTTCAAAAACAGAGAACAGGAAGGGAAAAAGATCCTGTCTGGGGGTAGGTGCTAGTGAGAGGGGGGAGGATGTAAGGAAAGAGTGTACAAGGGTGAATATGGTAGAAATATTATGTACACATGTATGTAAATAGAAAAATGAGACCTGTTGAAACTATTCCTGGAATGGGGGGAGATAAAGGAAAATGATGGAGGGAGTGAATTCAAGTATGATATATTGTAAGAACTTTTGTAAATGTCATAATATTCCCTCACTACAATGATAATAAAAAAAAGTTAAAAAAAGATTGTATTTTAAAAGACAAACAGAAAAAAGTAGATATAATGAAAAGAAATAAAATTCACAGGTATTTAAAAAAATGTAGTCACAAGTAAATGGAGCAGAAAAGAAGCCAATAAGAACTGTCTGGTTAAACAGCAGAAGGAGGCTGAGTGTTAATGTGTCTAGTTCAAGTTGTAAATGTTCTCTTAGTTTAGCTCCTTCTTTGGTCATATTATTTGATAGTAAAATGTGATCGTTAAATTTAAAACCAATATTAAAGTTGGTTTTGGAATTTTGTTATGCTATTTTCAAGTTTACATGAAAATGGAGAAAACCTTTTTGCTAAGTAGAGATTGTCAACAAAAAAATAAAGAATTATTTATACTACACCAATGGAAAAGAAATATTCTTTGGATTGTCAACAAAAAATAAAGAATTATTTATACTACACCAATGGAAAAGAAATATTCTTTGCAACAAATGAGAGGAAAAAAGAAATCCAGAGGATGCAAGAAAGAAAAACAAAGACAGATAGACTGATTAGTGTCCAAAGAATCAGAGGTACACAGTTCCTTACATCATCTCCAACTATTGCTGTGATAGTGATAAGCATATTTTGCAATCAAATATCCTAATGTTGATTTCACTTTTTGATTGACTGAACAACACTAAGAGGAATTCAAACAAAATTCCTATATTCTTCATCATAGATAATCAAGCAAATACACTCAGTCATTTTGGTTTAACCAACATTTGTTAATTATAATATACAAAAACTGTATTTCTTCTTGAGCCACTTATTTCTGAATGAATATTCTGAACACCCTTTCACAGAACTGGTTGGTTCTCACTCCATAGATGACAGGATTAAACATTGGTGGAATGATAACATACAAATTGGCCAGAAGGATATGGATGTACTGGGGGACATTTCAGCCAAAATGATGTGTTATAAAGAAAAAGAAAGCCCGGGTGTAAAAGGCCAAAATGACACAGAAATGGGAACCACAGGTGCTGAGAGATTTTGAGTCTGGCCTCACAAGAGGGGAGATGGAAAACAGCTCACAGAATTTGGACATAAGAAAGAGCAATGGCCATGATGTCAAAGCCCAGTATAGAAATGGTTCCCAGGCCATAGATGATATTGACCCTGATGCTGCACAAGCAAGACAAGCAAGATCCATATGATCACAGTAGGTGTGGGGATGACATGATGCCCACAGAAGGGCAATTGCAAGATAAGAAATACAAAAGGAAACACACAGAGTAAAGAACCCCCAATCAATAGTAGCAGTACTGTCTTGTCAGTAAGTATTGTGCTATAATGGAGAGGGTTAAAATAGCTACATAATGGTCATAAGCCATGGCAGGAAGCAGTACTGACTCCATGCCAGTAAAGATGTGAATGAAGAACATCTGAGTGAGGCAGGCACCAAAAATGATCTCATTGAGGCTGAACCAGAATATGCCCAGCATCTTAAGAGTGGTGGTTGTGGATAATCTCAGGTCAATGGTAGCCGGCACAGCCGGGAAGTAGAACATGGCTGGTGAAGAGTATGGTCACTGTGGATTACAGACAGGATAGTGCAGTATCCTATTAGTGCAGTTAGATACACAGCACAAAAGGGAAATCCAACCCAGATGTGGACACTTTCCTGTCTTGGGATTCCCAGCAGCAGGAAAGTGGATGGGTGGGACTGGGTGTCATTGTAATGGAATCTTGTGCTAGTGGTTGGATAGGAATGTTTTCCTTGCATGTGCATGCTGACCCATACTGGAAGCTTTCACTCTGTTACTGTGATGTTTTATAGTACTGGAAAATAAAACAGACACATTGTATCCATTTATCCATTTTCACAACAGAAATGCCAATTCTGTTACATGGCTTAAGTATACAAATTTTTCTGGAGAAAGGAGGAAAATACTAAAATGATCATGGGGAAAACAGATGAGTTTCCCATGTACAAGGATCACAAATAACTTTTGTAGGTATTTCCCCTCAAAAAATTAGAGACAATTTCTCACTTCTTATGTTGGGCTGTACATAGTGAGTAACTCTGAAAAATATGGTATAAAAATTGGAGAATGATAGTGAGGAATAACTGGAAAACATTACAAAAAATGTTATCCTGCTGACCAGGTGTAACATCAACAGTGGAAAGTCATATTTATTGTTGGTTACTTTTGATATTATGTGATGAGAATGGTTCTTTACCTTATGGTCTTCCTCGAAAATCCCACAGAACCAGTTCTAGTATAGGAAAAGCATCAGATCATGAGAAAAACATTGAATAAGAAAAGAAGTAAAGATATTTCATAAACTACTGGCCAATAATCTTAAAAACTATTAAGGTATTAAAATATAAGGAAAACAAGAGACTGCTCACAGTCTAATGTTGCCTTAGGATAGACGATGATTGAGTAGTAGTAAAGCACACTAGATGGATGGTTGGGACACAAAGGGAAGGTTAACTCAAACCAAAGAAATGGAAATAACCTTGGGCTTTAATTAATATCAATGTGTGAATAGTGCTGCATTCATTTTGTCAAATAAACATTCTCAGTTGTCAAATTATGAAATTCCCCTATTATAAGATGTTAACAA